CGCCTATTTAATTAATTGTTATCCAGACCCCCCCCCGTCACCGCCGGGACCTTCCTTTCCTGCGCAAGCTTTCTATCCTCCGCTATGGTCCCTTCCTCCTGTGACACCAACACCTCCTGGAAGTGACGCGTATGCAACACAATGGTGTTTCAATACAGTAGAAGGGACACAATCATGATATGACGGTAGATTTTTCGCTTCCTCATCCTCCCTTCCTCTCCACTGCCCTCCAGCTGCCACTGCAGCACCATGTGGAATGAACGGAAGTGTGCTAAGCAGGTGTTTATATAGCCCTGAAGAGTGTTATCACAACTATCCTGCTACAAAACATTGATATCTCAAATCCTGTAAGCTACCCGATTTGTTAGCGGTTTGTTTATCCCATGAGCTTCCTTCTCACTCACTTCATTTTGCGGACGGACACACATACATACATACATACACACACACACATACAGACACACAAACCGACACACAAAGTTAGCGCTTTATAAAATAGAAGGATAGCGTTCAGTATAGCACGTACTGTCGTGTAGTTAGCCGGTTTTGGATCAGCTTTTATAGCGATGTTTATGGTAAGATGGGACTATATTGGCAATAGGCTTGCATAAATTCTTCATTTGCCTCCTACTCAGAAATGCATTGCAAGTATTAAGAGCTAAGTAGCTATCACTTAGTTATGCTTAGTGGTTTGAATATTTCAGTCCAAAGTTGTGTTCCAGATCCTCGAATGGTGGCAGATCTTGGAAACACCATAGACTTTCTACATCGTGTCCGAGCGTTGAAAGTTCGTGGAGCGAAAGGCTATGTAGGCACGTCGAATATTGTGTGGAACTCACTTTCATACAGTTTACACTTCTGTAAAAATTTATTGGCTCTTTGGGTGAGTGAAATTGGGAATATTGGATAATTTGAACGTTTTCAACTCAAATGCCGAAATTATTTGTCACGCATTTTCGGATCGGATGCATCTCAAAGTGCATGGATTGAAACGCCAATAAAGCGTACCTCGGGGCTGGTCGTTCATGTTTCTATGGAATAATCTCGGGTTATGTTTGTTGGTGTTTGAGCCGCAAACTACAGGGGTGGCCAAAAAAAAGAGACACTTCACTCAACATTCAAAACGGAATTATTTACGCGTCGCGAAACCAAACCAAATGACCCCAACTGAATATTGAAGAGCACGTTATAATCTATCAACAAGCTACACAACAGCCTTCTACACCGACGACATCAGAAGATTTTCCCACGGAAGCATTGTGCGCGGTACGATCTCAACGAGGTCGTTGAGATACCATAGACGATTACGACGTCTCTGAAACGCAGGTCAAAAGCGGTTTTGCACATTCACAGCTAATGTCTCTGGAAGCTATTCAACAATTAATTCACTGAGGAAATTGTGTAGCAGCTTCAGGTCGGAGCGATTTCGGTAAGCCTCGTTGAGCTCGACGGTGACGGCAGATGACGTCATATTCTGGAGACGGCAGGGGCAGTGAAGGAGTGCTTGCTTCTGTTTACGGAGGAACAACTAAGGAATATAACGCCATAAAACTTTCATTAACATCGGCTCCCTGTGTGACGAAAAGTTCGATGATGTGCGCCATGGGCTGAGTGTCTCTTTTTTTTGGCCACCCCTGTATAGCGCAGATTTCGGAGCTGAGAAATCAGAGGTTGACCGTCAGCTAGAAGATGAAGGTGCTTAGAAATGAACAGTTCGGTGGATACGTCGAAAAAAGTAAATCTAGGAATCGGAGTGTATCTGAGTGGTAATGAGTTGGAGCGCCGCCATTTTGCCAAACCATTTTCTGGATGCGCACGCATGCCGAATTTTCTTAGATCCTAGTGGTTTTAGAATGCGAGTGGCGGCCTGCGCCCAGTAGCTGCGACGTGTCTTCCAAATAGTTTGTCTGTAAGTGTTTTTGCTAGGTCTTTTCTACTGGCACTCACGATCGAGTACTGCCGTTTGTTTGAACAAGAACATTGGCAATGTTTAGAAGAAGTTGACTTTTCGTTCAATGATCTTAAAGGGATTGATGAAAGTGTCGTAAGTTTTACTATATTAAAGTTTTTTTCGTTAGAGTTGATAAGTTATTCATTTTACTTTGTAATATTTAGCGTTTACTCGGTAGTGTGCAGAAATTGAACATTAGCCACAATAACGTAACAGAGATTGGTGGATATTTGCAACATCTCACGTGCCTTACGGAATTGGACTTGTCATCGTGAGTTTATTGTATTTGTAAAAGATATTATATTTTTTGGTAGTTTTGTTGTTGCTCAACTGAATGGGTATCTCCTCGGAAGAATTTACCTCAGATTATTCCGAGTATTTCACTCTGTCACAGATGTATTCTTGGATGATGTACTCAGAGTTTCCACTACTCAATCAAACCAAGGGGAAGGTCTTTCAGGAAATGCCAGCTTTTTCAAAACGGTTTTTGCATGATATAGGGGTACATGCATGGAACACAGAACCATGTTCATTTTTCCTGAGCGGCCCTCTGAATACCAAAAAAGGGGTGATGAAGTGGTCCGTGGTTCGAATCCTCGCAGTGACAATTTTTTGCATTTTGTGTTGGCGTTTCAAAATTCGCGAAAAATAGCGTCAGCGGAAACAACTTATGTCATATCTATAATTAGGACCATCAGCAACCTTTATACGTAGACTTTGGCTGAAAAACTGGTGAAGAAAGTTAAGAACGGCAGTTCCTTAAGAAATTTTTCTTCGCTCCTTTTTTGGTATTCAGAGGGTCGCTCAGGAAAAATGAACCACAGTTCTGTGTTCCATGCACGTACCTCTATATCATGCAAAAAACCGTTTCGAGAAAGCTGGGCATTTCCTGGAAGACCTCCCTGGTAAGCCTGGGAGTGCCATAGTAGTTGACATCTTGTCCTTGTTGTTTGAAACGGCTAAACCAATCGTTGATGTCCCCGCGGCGACCTTTTGTATCGTCGCGTGATACAGTGGTGCGCCACGGCGTACAGAGCAGTACTGTTCTGTTTGAGGCTTTCAAAAATTTTCACGTCCTTCAGTTGTTGTGACAATTTCCGGTACCATAACACAACATAAGTGATTATTGTTCATCGAATAGTGCAGCTTTGTGATCGCTGTAGAGCCGTAGTATAGAAAAAGAAACGTCCACCATTAAGCAATCTGCCTATTCAGCAAGGAGAGGCGAAGGAATCACCCGCTTATCAGGAACCCGATCAGAAAAATATCTGCCGAGAACATTTTCTGGTTTCACAGAGTGCACCGCTCAAGCACAGCGCTAAGCAAAACTTCCCTATCTTCTCTATTTTTGTGCTTTTCTTGTCGCGCATACTCATTTTCTTCGCCAGAGTTTCATATCGATCTCGATCTTCGTATATCTGTTCCATTAGAAGTTCCGAAGGCAATTTTTTCGTCATATTTTATTTATTGCTACATTCTTGGGTCATTGCTGTAGTATTGTCGTTGACATAGCCATGGTTCCGTGATCCGGATGCTCTGCTCAGTTGCATCGGCGACTGAGCAGAGCATCCGGATACCTGGCTTCAGGTAAAAGAAAGTTTGTGAAGCGCTTCTTTTGAGTGCGAAAAGCTTGTCTGCTGAAGTGAATAAGGGTTGAGTTTACTTGATGAGTTGCCAGTAGTATTACGACCGTCTTGCATAGGCCTATCGGCTTTCTGTAGGATAAAAACGCTTCAATATGCCATTATAATCTTCGGTCGGATTCACATGCGCGGCTTGTTCGAAAAAGTGATCATCAACGCCTAGCTCTATCCTTTTTATGCTTTTTCTCATTCGTTAGTCAATTGCTTACTGTTTTGGCAAATACTGATCAAATTTTTTCGAAGCAAAATGATGCTTTAGTAGCATACAGAATGCGACGTGAAAAGATGTAGCTGACCATGAGATTTTAGTGGCAATTTTAGGAACGGAATAACGTCAGTGCACAATCGGAAAATCAGTTCTTAGGAAATTCTTAAAAAGTTAACTACTCGCTCATAAACGCCATTAAAGGATGTCTCGGTTAGCTTATATTTTGTCTTTTTATTGTTGCAAAATTTGAACGAGTTGATACTTTGTCAATCCGCAGTTCGCGAGTAAGACTGATCATTATCTACTGCGCGAGTTCAACCGAAATTTGAGCTCTTATGGTAGCCGTGGGGTTGTGAAGTACTGTCCACCTAGAGAACACACGACGTATCGGTGACTTTCGCGAAGATCTTTGTCTTGCCCACCGAATGGACTTCAGTGGTTTAATTTCCGGGCAAGCACTTGAGAGTCTCCAAATGAACGAAGAATGAAGAGCGTATTTCAAATTAAACTTTGTTTCGGAATTTTCCTTCCGCTACGTAATTTGTTTGCCCTACTTTTGGATGTATCCAGAAGAAGCCAAATTAAATTTGGGCGAGGGGATGGGGGGTGCATAATTCTATTCTGTTAACAAAGTTGCGACGTAGATCTCGCGCAGCTTCTTGAGATTTTCCTTAGTGCATACGAGAAGTGTTTTTGTATGAAATTAAGACAAACTTTCTGGATATTTGATCGTTTCCAAGATACATTTCCTTTGCCTTTGGTATAAGCAGCTTGCATTTCAGGGAAACATTTCTGAGCTTTCAAATTTCTCTTTAGGTCTTTCACGAATGTACTCGCTGGAATATCTTGATTTACGAAACAATGCGATCGAAACAGTAGAGGCAGTCTATCCGCTGGGATCGTTACCGTGTTTGGAAGCTCCTCTACTTGAAAGGCAACCCTGTTCGAAAGGTTGTTGAGTATCGGACACGCCTGCTTGAAGCATTTGGAGAAAGGAGTTGGGAGGTGTGTTTCTGTTTCAGACACGGCTTCGTCTCAGGGCAAACATTCAAATAATCTGAAATTGAATTGGGGAATCGTACTTTCGCGAAAGGTGTTGTGAGGAGCGTGTTTTATTTTCTTGTTCTATGGGAATTTTGCCCATAAATACTTTATTGGGTTCTCACAAGCTTATTTGCCCACACGGTAGGCCTGAAATGTATCTTGAAGTATCGCCTCCCCTCCCAACTTTTTTTTTCGGAATTTCTTCCATTTTTCAAAGTAGTTTTCATTCATTGCTGCATAAGGCATCACTGCATGACGTTGCGTAGCTCTGTTTTATCAATGTCGCTCACGTTTAATTTGCCTTTATGAATCGTAGTCTTAGAAAACCACAAAAGTCCTGTCCAGCAAATGAATTACCATGGCCTAAACATTGTCATATTTCTAGATGTAAAATTGTTTATAGGTCAAGTTAGACGGTAAAGCACCGGATGATCGCGAGCGAGATACGGTCAGACTTCGACTGGCTTTGCGTCGTGCAAGGGAGGAAAAAGAGGAAAAGGAGAGGAAGCGAAGAGAGAAGATAGAGGAGAAAATACGGTAGCGTGGCTTTTTTCTGATTGCTCTCTGTATGCATCTAATTGCAGTGATTTCAGGTATATATCAGGTGATGTGTGTCGATTCACAGATGAGCTGGAGTCGAGCTAAAAATTTGCCCAAAATTTTTGTTATTATATGCATAATATAATAATAGTTAAATATTGAGGAGAAAGTGTTATATCGTGGTTGCCCAGAGATTTCTCGGGTTTTATTAGAGCACAAGAATGTATGTATTTTAGTATTTAAGCATACCAGTTATTTCTAATTTATTTAGAAAGTAACAATGCCTCAGAGTATTTTGTTTGTATAAACAGAGTTGTCATGATCGATTCAGAAGGATTTTATCTGACGGTTTTATATCAGAAATGTTCACTGATAACTACTTATGTAGTCGTTTTAGCCTAATGTTCCTACTGTTTATTTAGTTTTTTAGAACTTTTCGAAGACTCATTTGCATAGCTGTGATATGAACACTTTCACTTGATTGTATGCGTAGGGCTTTTTTTTTCAAAATGATTTTCTTTTTAGAAAAATCCCGGTGATCCGTGTGCATAGGTGATATGTATTGATTTGTATAAAGGCTCAAATATTATTATTTTTTGTTATTTTTCCCATAAGTGTTATTCTATCTGCTACTGCTTCCAATGTAATTACAACCAAAACTACTCAAGTCTCTTAACAATTACGTTGCGGTGGGAAGGCGGTTGTACAGGCAAATTATTGAGTGGGGGTGGGGGAGGGGTTGTTATAGGTTTCTCAAGGAGTTCTTGAGAATCTTGATGGAATCCAGATTTCAGGTGTTTTCAGGCTTTTAGTGTTTCACGTTGTAGTACCCTCTCCACCTCTTTTGCTCCTCACCGCGCCCTTCGTTTTGCACAGGATTCAAAGCGCCTAGAAATTCCGAAGAGTCCGAGTTCTGTCGTACGATTGACCTTACTTTGTCTTTTGTGCCTCCTCAAGCGCAGCCTGGGTAGTTTTTGAAATGTTTTACGAATTTCTTGAGTGACGATGCTGTTTGCATAATTAGGTAGGTAAGGCCACGTTCATGACGGGTGCCAAAAGCTGGAAGCGGAGGAATATGTGCAGAGGTTTGGAGGGATACGCCATTGCATCAGAAAATATTATGGACTGGTAGGACTTGCAGGACACGGTTGTAAGTTTCTTTCCTTGGTATTTGGTTTTGCAAGTGCCTAACAAGGGAGGTCTTTCAGAACATGGAGCGCTTTTCCGTGATGATTTTTTGAATGTTGTAGAGTCTATTGCGTGGAAACAGCGTCATGGTCCATTTCCCTGAACGCTTTCAGGTGTGTCAAAATAGTTGTGAAGAAATGGTCCAGAGTATCATCCTCTGTGATGACTAATTTTTGCAAATTGGACTTGTGTATCCAGATTGCAACAAAATGACGCCAGCGACGAAAATACCTGTCACTCTTGTGATTTAGCAGCAGTTTGGAGGCACAAACCCAAATTTCGTAAATTTGTCACCACGGAGGACCGAACATTTGACAGTTTCTTCATCGCTGTTCTGGCATTCCTAGAACCATTCAGGAAAAATTTACCACGGTTTTGTCTTCTTCGCATGAGTCTACAACATTCATGAACCCATTTCGCAAAAACGCTCAATCTCTTGGAAGACCTCCCTTGTAAGGCCGATGTCATGGTTTGCGAATCGTGCGATTCGCTAGATCAAGCGTTTGCGCCAGCGAATGCGACCGATGCACCAGCGACTCGCGTTGTGGGCGGGACAGGTTTCAAAGCAGGCCGCACTTTGCGATCAGCGTCTCGGTAAGTCCACTTGACAGTGAACGCTGTTTGAAAGTGGCGGGAGTTGGCGGGAATACCGTGGTAGATGTAATGAGCTGCGCGAGTCTCATTCTTGGTAAATGAAGCTTTGCAGTAGCCAGAAGTTGCATTTCACATTTTTCATTTCAGCTAGCGGTTCGTGATTTGGTTGGAGCTTGTCGTAGATCCTACACGAAGATGTCCAATCTTCTCTTGGAAAGTAGGTTTTTTTGTTCTGCATGCCTCTTACGATAGCAGTCCTATGAGAAGATTTATGGGCGTAATGCTTATGGAGGTGTGAATCTCTTCCGGTCTGCTGATAGGATGTTTCAAAGGTACGCCTCGTTGAAGGTTCCAAAAAAGGAGATTTCTGCCATAATGTTAGTCTAATGAAAATTGATATCAATCTTGAAGGTTCAAGCAGAAACATAAAACTTTCGTATAATCATTTCGAAATTGGAGGCAGCGATTACGACAGGTTCTAGAAGGGTTCATGGAGCCGAGGTGGTGCTCAGTGGTACGCCAGTGGCGAAAAAAAGCAGGGAAATCCGTCAAGAAAACGCAAAACGGGACCCCCTTTTTTGGCCGTTGGTTTTCACTCATGAACAGGTAAGCTCAGAAAGCGGACGTATGAACGAGTTCACCGCAACGCGTTTGGTGGCACCATGCCAAACCACGCTCCAATCGAGTTGCTCCAGTTGTGCCGCTGCTGGCAACGCAGCTCGTCCAAATCACCAACTAAACTAGTGGGCGGATCGCTTTTGGGGGCGGAGTGCTTTCGAAGTCCTGCTCAGCACCTTTCGTCGTGAAAGCGCCACACCTCGCTTCCCTGGCAGCCAAGTAACTGCTTCGTGTGGTGCATATGCTTCCCCGATGCGCTCCACTTTATCGTAATCGCTCCTTTAATGGAGAATCTTTTTGTGCTGTTCCATGTTTTTGAATTTGGAATTGCCAACCGGACGTGAATTCAACAGACCTTAGAGGGCAATAAGAGCGACAAATTAGCTTAAATAGTTAAAAAATACTGTATGACGGAATAATGTCATCGTGCAACTCAGTGATGCACGGCAAGTGGAGGTCGCTACCTGCTTTAATATGTACTGGTGCGTAATAAGAGATCACTACGCGACATCCCACGCATCTGGACGTGCCAAGGGCGCCACATTCGGCTCAGGCGTAAGCATCAACCTAAGTACCTGTGAAGGTGCACACGTGACGAGATCATACAAGCCTGGGAGATTTCCGCTTAGTAAAAAGTGCCACTCGAATTGTTTGCCGCACCCTTCGCATGGCCAGATATGCGCGACGCCGCGTGATGACCCCTTGCCTCTAACAAGGGGGTCTTTCAGGGCAAGCCGCGCTTTTTCAAAACGGTTTTTTGCATATTGTAGGGACGCATGTAGGGAACACAAAACCATGTTTCATTTTCGCTGAACGGTTTTAGCAGTACCAAAAAAGTGGTGAAGGTACTGTTAATGGTTCGATCCCCGCGGCGACTAAATTTTGCAATCAAGGTTGGCGGCCACTTTTGGCTTCAAAATGGTCCTGACGATGAATATGACATCTGATTTTGACATTTAGCGCGATTTGGCACCAACCCGTAGGCGCCAACCCAAATGCAAAATTTAGTCGCCACGGGGGATCGAACCATTAACAGTACCTTTTTTTTGGTACTGCTAAAACCGTTCAGCGAAAATGAAACATGGTTTTGTGGTCCATACGTCCCTACAATATGCACAAACCGTTTCGAAAAAGCGCACTTGCCCTGAAAGACCTCCCTTGTAAGTACCCGGCGATGGCTGCGGGGTTCAATATTTGATGCTAAAGACCTCATTTTTTGTGCAAAATTATATTTCATATTGCTGTTTAACAACAATATTCCAATGTGAGTGGTTTTTTGATTCAAAAAGGAATTTCAGTGTTTCCTTCCGATTCGTCGGATTCGGAAGCTGAAGAGGGGAACCGTCCGTGTGGAAGCGATGAGGAGAAGCTATTTGCGAATATTTCACTATCGCCGCAGCCGAGCGTAATGAAGTGAAAGAGGAAGCGATAGAAGATTTCGAACCAATGGAGTGTGATCCCACGCTACCCATCCAACCAGCCACTGCGAGGCCTCTCCTCGTAATTGAGGACGAGTCTGTTTGGAAACGCTGCATTTATCAAGGATGTGGAAAGGAGAGTGTGAGGACCGTAATGCGAAGTTTAGGTTAAATATGTGAGGAGGATTCCTTTAACCCATTCGCGACCGCGCAGGATTGCGCAATAGCAGCAGCGTCAGGAGATTTTTCTTCAATAAAATCCGAGTGAAGGGAGATTTCCTCTGCCCAGGGCTGGCGTAGATGAGCGAGGGTATGAAGATTCTTTCCATGGAAGAAAACTTTCCAAATTCCATTTCAAGCCCTGCAGCCACAGTAATACCATTTGTCCCGAGTGAGAGCTTTGTCAGCCACCGGTGGCTGACATTGTCACGAATGGGTTAAGTACTGTTAGAAGGCTGTCAAGGTGGAGGAGAGGGTTGGTGCGGTAATACATCATTAGACGTTTTTTGTGAAGGCAAGTCTTGGGGTTCGCAGGGCCTACCGGGATTTCAAAGCTTTGTATTTCTTCCTTTCGATGACGCAGTTCTAATGATCAAGATTGAGGGATCCATCCCGAGGTGCAGTTTTTGGAGACCCTCCCTTTCCGGGCTTTGCTACATCCGGTCCTTGGTCCCAACCATACCATTAGCGAGAGGTCTAGTCCACCAATGACGTTAAATCGCGTCATTAAAGCTGCTCCACCCTTCAGCCGTAGTGTACATGGCCTTCGAATGGTGCCACCGTTCTCGACACTCGGAATTTCAGAAGGAGACGTGATCAACGCGATGGCGACGGAGCGCTATCTATTGATCAAAGATGGGCAACAGGAGCTTGCAAATTTCCTATATAGAAAGATGGACCTCATCAAAAAACATGTGAAGCAAGCCGACGAAATCATATTCGATCAAGAAAAAGGTACGAATTAGTTTCAACCTTGCCTCTTGCACACAGGAATTATTTCTTAAGCGATTTTGAAGCCGTAGTGATTTTCGGAAATGAGAGAACGAAGTGCTTGTATGGGTGCAACTACAGTCCGCGATTTGAGGATGATGGAGCTATCATCGGAATGATTCCTGTAAGCGATGATCATAGAGCCCGAACCAAGAAGTCGAGGGTCTGGGTCAGGGTGAATCGTCCGTTTGGTGGAGTCAGAGCAGGTTGTCGTATCAAACGGAAAGGGGTTGTAGTTGTTTATGGCCCGGGAACCTGGGAGGAGGAAATTTTTTGAGAATCCAGCATAGATAGGGGACCTTGGAATTTTCGCAGTGTTGCAGTGCCATTCCAACAGTCATCATTCATCCATCTACAGCCGCGGTCCAATCGTTGATTACGACCCTCTCCTCCAAATCGCAAAAAGCTCCTTTGTTTTACAAATATACCCTTCTCCGCACTTTTGAAGTACTGGAGACGACGAGTCGAAGGGGCGTAACCAAGTACAAGGTTCAGTGGCTCTACTGGTATCGTCCACTGTAGGAGAGGGTCGTATATCCGATACCGGTCAATCGTCACAGTTGATCCCGTTTCAAATTTGGAGTAGTTTATTTTGGTCCACATGGTTGGCTCAATGGTTTTCAGCACACGAGGGGGGGGGGGAGTGGGGATACTTATTCGTTCCTTGATAGTTGCTACTAGTATAATTGTACAAAGATACTATAAGGCATAGCAATGTGAAATGAAGTACACATTCAGGTTCCAGGCGGCTAGGCACGAGGACTGCGGTGGTAGAGCTATTACAAGCATGATGATAGGATGTTTCGAGTACAATGACCTCATTCTCCCCGCGCCACCGAAAATTTTCGAGTGGGCGCTTGGGCAGGATGCCTCTTATAGATTGCTGGGTGGGGGAGGGGGGTCTCACCGAGTCATTCAATCACAAGTTCTCACCTTCCGCTTTCTCATAATATTTTTGGCCCATGATTCTGTCGGCGAGCGTTTTCTGTACGTAACCGTGACGTTTTATCCGTCTCTTAATTCTATCTGTGAGCATGAGGGTCAAAGCGTCTGGTTTAACAATGATTCACAAAATTTGTTCTAGACTCCTTGCCACGCCAGCGTTGCATAAATCTTTTCCAACGATACTGGACTAAGAGTTTTTCAGAGTGTCCAAATATTCAGAGGGCAGTTGTTGCATTGAATATATCTCTATATTGTATGACATTTTTTCATCATATCAGGTCTGGACAGTGTGCGAGCGTTCATTGAGGAGCGCTTTATCATGCATTTCGGACCAGATATGGATGGTTCAATGAGAAAATGGACCGAAGAAGAGGAAGAAGAGCAGCAGTTTCTTATCGACAAATTCCCTGTTCATACTCAAGGTCATCCTGCGAATGAACAATTTGGATCCGGACGACTATAGTAGGTTTTCATGATTAAATGACATTAAATCACTCATTAGGGCGGAAGTGGTGTAGTGGCAAGTGGCACGCTTACCACGCGAGCGGTCCGGGATCAAATCCTGGGTCGTGAGTCGCCCGGGCCAACCAAGCCTTCCATCCCTCCGGGGTCGGTTAATTGGTACCAGACTTGTCTGGGAGGATAAAAACACTGACTTGTACATCGGCTGGCCCCGCAAGTCATTGTATAGGCCACATCGCATTCAAACGCCACTACGAATGTACAAATGGAAGTAGAATGCGTGCCGCATCCCAAAAAGGGATTGATCAACGGCAAATGCTTTATCCTTTTTATCCTTTAAATCACTCATGAGGGTGTACTGTGCGGACAGTTTACTACTTCCCCTTGAATCGGAAAAGCGCTGTCTACTAATAGCAAGTATTGTTAGTCCTCTGACTGTTAGGTCCTCAAACCTCTTCGTTCAGCTACGATCTCCCTTCTGAATTGTTTCCAAGTTCTGTAGAGACTGATAATAATAGATGGCGACATGTTTATTTATTTCATCTATTTACTTCTGCTGTAATTGTTAATCCTTGGATGGGATAGTGTAGTGAAATATAGTGCCGCTGTTGCTTGTAGAGTCCGTGGATCCGATCTCGATAAGAAAATCGTCTTCGATTTTTCTGCAATATTTGCATTATGATAATAGTGATAAGCTTGTTTTGATGGTCGGGGAACAAGGCTCAAAAACATCTATCCGCGCGAGTCATTATGTAGACATTTTTGACATCTCCCCTTTTGGCTGTCTTCGAAAGACCTCACGACTTTGTACGATAGCCCACTTCGAACGTTCATGACCGATTATTGGTGTTCAACACTTCATTCTTTGCTTGTGGTCTGCATCACCATTGTGATTTTTTTTTGCAGAATCGGAGTTTGGAAATTTTCATGCGATGGCGAAAAGTAAAATAATTTTCCGTCAAACAGAAATCAGAGACAAGGAGCTTGGATGAGATGAAACGTCGACTTGAAATGGCGCGGATACAGTGAGTCTACAATTCTTTAAGGCAACCGATCACGTCGCTGTTATGGGCGGAGCGCTCGTCAGGAACCCTTAGGTTGGTGTCAGAGTCCGCGATCCGTCGCGCGATTCGCGCGAATCACAGAAATCACAAGTGCCCCGATCAATACTGCGAGGTGCTCTCCGAATCCCGCTGCCATTTCTGCTTGATGGTGATGGTTGAATGACGACTGTTCATGATTCTACTTGTTTCATATTCAGTGTTCAAATGTT